TAATTAGATCATAAAGATATGCACTTTTAATGTTCCCATTGCAGGGAATCTTATAAAAGAACGGACAGTCTTTGGTTTAAATAAAATATCAATCACAGCGAAAAAAATTGCTCGAGGCCCAAAGCGAGCCAAAACAGGTTTAGACTAATCTTAACAAAATGGGGGAAAAGCTCTTGTGTCTTCACAAGGTAAAACCCCATTAACATTTTCAAAAACTAATTCTACACTAAAAACTACATTAAAAACTAACTTAATTCTAAAGGACTATTTACAACAGCAGAAAAAAAAAAAAAAAAAAAAGCTTATATTAGTTATTCTCTAAGGAACTCTCTGAGGAGTTATCACTCGCACCTTCGGTTCTGAAGAGCTAATAAGCGACTTTTAAGCTCTCGAATTATATCATCCTCAGATGATAACCACCAATATTTGGCTGTATTGAGCCTAGCAAAATTAAGGAAGTCCGTAGGAGGGATTCTCATTGAAAATGCAAACTTATCAGGGTTCAATATAAAGTCCGTAGCTTTAAATGCAATGCGTTTGTTAGCCCTATTTCTCCTCCAGTGGTACAGGATAGGTATGTTCAAACTGTTTTGAATAATACCTTGTTTATCACAATATATAAAAGCTTCTGGGTTTATATATCCGTTATTCATCTGCTCTTCTGCTGCAGCTGTACTTATAATTGCCAGTGATCTTATTAATTCATTCTTATTTTGAGGTAGTTTGGAGAAATATTGTCTGGCTAGATTGATTATGAATATATCTATTCTAGTAATGTTAGCTTGTTCATATAGGGTCATGTTGCTAATATAGTGTAACCAATTAGACTGCTGGGACCTATATAATGATAAGCATGCTCTTAAGCATTTTCTTTCAAAGGTTCGAAGTTTCTCCATAGACGTGTGGTTGATGTTCCACCATATAGGGGATGCATACGTTACAATTGGTCTGATTAAAATCATATAAAGGATGATTTTTGTTCTGGCAGCTATGTACCGGGAGAGGAATAATTTACTGTTTGCTACGAAGGCAGATCTAGCTTTGGCTAATTGCTTATCTAAGTGTATGTTTCCCCTCATTAAGTAATCTAGATGATAGCCTAAATACTTAACGGACTTTTCATGGGGTATGTCTACCATCTCGTTTGTACCAGGGATCTCTGTCTTAATATGGAAGTTGGTTATTCCTTGTCTACTCTTAGGTGAGAGGAGGCAGAGTGGTTTCCGGAAGAGGATAGTTACACATTTTGAAGGATTCAGCCTTAAGTTCCACATAGCATAGTATTTGTTGATTTTATCTACAATTTCCTCAAGATTCTCCTGAGTTTTTAGGGCATTGCTAGTTGTAACGTATATAATAAAATCGTCGGCAAAACCAATTCCTTTGTAAATGCTATTGTGTTGGTTTATGTCGAACAAGTGTAGAAGATCACATATATAAATATTGAACAATATAGGGGAGTTTACGGTGCCCTGTTGGAGACCTTCGAGTATTCTAAATTTAATGGATGATATATTGTTGTCGAGGTAGGTTACAAACGATTTATTTAGAATTATATCCCAAATCATTCTGATTAGGTAGGTCGGAAATTTTTTCTTGATCAGTCTGAATATAAGGCCGTTAATCCAAACAGAATCAAATGCTTTCTCCAAATCCAGTAATGCCGCTCCGACCAGCTTGCCATTACTAATGTCAGTGTTAATATCAGAAACTAGTTTATGGATTGCACGAGTTGTTGAATGATTGGTTTTGAACCCGAACTGTGTGTCCGGGAAGATATTAAGTTTGTTACAAATGTTGGTTATTTTGGAGTTGATAATTGCTTCATATACCTTACTTAAGTTTGGAGACAAGCTAATCGGTCGATAACTTGCAGGATTTGTTGGGTCTTTATCTTTTTTTATTACCGGTATTACTTTGGCCTCTTTCCATATTTTAGGGAAATAGTTGTGGTTGATGGCATTGTTAAATAAGACAACAAATTTCTCAATGATTGAGTCAAGGATATGCTTTAAAGCAATTGCAGGGATGCCGACAATTCCTGATGAACATTTGTTAGGAAGGTGTTTTAATATACTGCATACCGAAGCAAAGTTGCAGAAGAGGTTGTGCCAGCTGGCAGGGACTGTCGGATTAACAGCTAAATTTTGGTTATCGAAAGTTACATATGTAGCACTATTTTTTCTACGTTCGTCAAACTCGTAATAAAAATCGTTCGCTACCTCATCAACAATATTTTTGAGACTAGTGTTAGTGTTAAGATAGCGTGGTGAGTTTATGCTCTCAAAATAAGCACCAATAATCTTTAATTTGTCCTCAGATGAAGTGAAAATAACATGGTTATCAGATTTTATTGCATTATTGCAGTCTAGATTGCAACGATTTAATATCATATCACTATTTGCACCAATTTTAAGACTTTCAATTTGAATCGGGGGATTTGATCTGAAAATAGGATTTATCTTTGGGAAGAATGTTTCTGGGCATTTATGGTCAATTTGTTTGAGCGTGTTGACCCAATATCTGTGCATTGAATTTTTATATTCGGTATCGTGTAAATTCTTGATAATTTTAAGTAGATACTTAATACTGCTTATAAGAGAGGCACTTATATCTATATCTGAGACACGGACTTTATGGAGAATTTTCAATAGCTTGCTTTTCATTTTGTTCAGTCTTTTGATTTTTCTATTTACGTATATAAGCATGCTGTTTTTTCCTTCTACTGAAGGAGCGTTTCTATATAACACTTCCTTAATGTTGCTCGATAAGGACACTAGCCCTATTTCTATCTCTTGAATTGAGAGATTTCTATTTTCAGGTACATATACTGAGGGAGAGTCGTTAAGATCTTCTGCGAATTTATCCCACGATGTAGCTTTAAAGTTATACCTGAGAGGGAAGCTATCATGCCTTATGAAGGTGTCACCTTTTGGTAATGCAAATTCCATTGAGATGGCCGCATGGTCGCTATCATAAGGCAGCGTCGGAATTTTTCCATTTGTGCCATTTATCAAGCTCAGCCTGGCATCCACTATGCACATATCCAGAAATGACAATGCCGGGATAAAGGTAGGGTTATTAGCAGTGATGAATTTTGCTTTAAATGCGATGCTATTAGTTTCCTCCCATGTTTTCATATGAATCCCTCTAGCATTGTCGGTATAGTCGTTCCACGCGATTCTTCTAGCGTTTAAATCTCCGGCAAGGATATAGAAATGAGACTCGGATGCCAGGTTAAGCCTGATAAACAAGTTGTCTAATTCATTAATGAATAACCGCCGATTATCACTCGGAGCGTAGGCACTAATTAGAAATAAATGTTCGTTGCTTTGTGTGGTGATTTTGACTATTGTATATTCTAGTATTTTATTCTGTTTGGATGAAGGTTGTTTGATCAATTCAAATGGAATATCCTTTTTGAGCAAAATAGCCGTACCACCACCCAAAACAGCATTGGGTCTATCAGATCTCACAAAGTTATAATTTTTAAACGAAATTTTGTGTCTTGCGCTGAGTTTTGTTTCCGATATAAAGATAATATCGTGATTAAAATTATTTGCAAAATTATACAGGTCAAATCTCCTGCTGTTGGAGCAAATTGAGTTAGCGTTTATAGCTGCTATTTTCAACGTATTGATCTTGGTAGCTGAACTATTCATAATTGGTATGGCAGAAGGTGTTTAGTATGAATTCAATCTTTTCTGAGTTGGCGGCGACCTGATTTATCAGAGTATTAAACTGAGTTTTTATAGTACTAATAATCTCGTTTTTAAACCTGGATATCCATTCCAGCGACCGTTCGTCTTGTTTTGCTTCTGATAAATTCGGTGAATTTTGGTTCACTTCCCATCTATCCAGTCTTGAATCATGAGGCTCGTTGTTGCGGTAGATATTCTGAGTTGCTGGTCCTTGGTCCATACGTCTACCACCTGTAGCATGCGCAAAGGAGACATCCTTCCTTACTGAGGCAGCTAATGCGGCGATCTTCTTGGTGGTATTATTTTTTATGACATTTTGAGACTTGGTTTTCAGCGAGAGTGCGTATTTTAAATAGGGGCAACCCTTATAAGATGCTGGATGCCCGAACTGATCACAGTTAGCACACTTGAGGT